TCTCTCTCTCTCTCTCTCTCTCTCTCTCTCTCTTTCTTTCTTTTTCTATTGGCTATCAAGGGGACCCTTAACAAGGACTGGAACAGTGACTTTTACAATATTCCCAAGCAACCCAAGCTATAGTTCCCACTCTGGTTCCATATGTAGCTTTTCTGATTTCATTTACTATTTGCAAAGGTTGGGTATCATCATGCTTGTTCTTCCTGACAAGAAGCTTGTCAAAAACCAGGATTTTGCCGGCAATTATAATGGCAGGAAATGCAACCACTCCATTTTTTGCAATTGCTGCATTGAGAGAAATGCCAGCTAGATAATCTTCATCTCCTTCACCTCCTCCACCTCCTCCTCCTTCAGAGGTCAAGTTCCTAGATATTTCTCCTCCTTCTCCTCCTCCTCCTCCTCCTCCTCCTTGACGTTTCTCTGGGCACCAATAATTTATCACAGCCTAATATTAGGTTACAGGAACAAAAAGAGGCATAAGTATTAAGCTTGGGTCACAAAAGGAATCCTCCAACATTATCTACTCATTCTAATTTGTGTTGAACTTCCAGGTGTTTCTCACAGGACATCCGTGTAAAAACTTCCAGGTGATTATCGCTTACACGATGCTTCAGATGGTGAGAGACCAGATCCTCAGAGAAGACCTGGAAGAAGAGGAGATCTTGATGGTAAGCCTGATTAATAAGAGAAACAAGAGAAACATTCAAACACAGAGTGAATATCTCTGAATTGCCCCCATTGAAAGCTACTTATGAAAACTGTGGTTTGTATAGAATTATGAAAGCCGGGATAAAGTAAAAAAATAATAAGCTACACCTGGTAAATTTCTATATTTTGTTAAAAATACAATGCACAGTCTCGTTCTAGAACTCATGTTGTAGCTTACAAAACTGGTCTTTCCGAGAGTTGTTGAAAAGGAATCTGCAGGTTTCGTAATTGTTGTACGTGTGAGGAGGGGTCATAAATCACTTTCTTCAGTGCCACTTGAATGGTCTCTAAATGAATGGTTGCAAGTTGAGAAACTACTAGTCATTACTGTCCGTCATCCACACCATTCTTGTTCATCCAGTCTATATCAATCTATATTGAATTTGCATCCTCTCGTTCTACAGTGTGAGATAGCTGATGTTGTCTTCTGTTTTCTCCAACCAGCTGTGCCATAGCATTGTAGACCTGGATGCCGATGACTTGATCGCCAGAGCCTGCAACATATATGAACTCTTCCTGAAACATGAAGACAAGGTAAAGAATTCCACAATTGTCCCATGTAGTGGGGATTTAGAGGGAATGATCTTTATGGTTAGCCATGTAAGAAGGGTCAACTTGTAAAACATTCCTATGCCAGTTTCCAAACTGCCATAAGAAAGAGGGGAGGAAGAAGCATACAGCAAATGAACTCAGAAGCACATTCCAAGCTTATCTCACAAAAATCGTAATTGAGGCAACCGGGTATTCTGGGCGTGAAAATCCTCTGTTGGAAAATATGATTGATGACACCCAGCCATGAACGTGTTCCATTGGACAATCTGAATTATGATACACCCAGAAGGGTGGAGGGGCAACAGGGTCATGGGTGATTGTAAATTCCATATCTCAGAGTCAGCTTCATACATGTCATGCTGGTATGTCGCTCCTAATAAATCCTTTGAAGTTTTCTGAAGTTTGGCTCGAGGCTCATGATTTAATTAGGACGATCGCTGGAATCTTGACAAAAAGAACATTATCACAGTGACACTTAACCAAATACACACAGGGCATTAGATTTCAGACCCCCCCCCCCCCCAAAAAAAAGCAGAACACCCATAAAGCACACCTGTAAAGTATTGTAAAGTGGTATATAAGTGGTACTGCTGTTATGGAAGCAAACCCTTTCACTGAAAATCTATGGAGATTCTCAGTCCTCCAGGTCATAGTTGTCCCCAAGGTGCTTTTTTTTTTTCAAGAGGCAACTGAACTTTCTTGTTTTTCTTTGAAGACATTGTGCTTCTCATCCAAGAAGCTTCTTCAGCTCTGACTGGATGGTGGGGAATGGAAGGATTTATGTTTCTTGCAGACAGCTGGTCATTTGCAATCTTTTAGAGGGTCGTTGAGGCCACTTGGAGGTTTGTCTGCGTCCTCAGGGTCACCTGAGCAGTGCAAATGGAACACAAAAGAGAAAAACAAGAAAGTCCAGGTGCCTCTTGAAAAGCACCTTTGGGCCTTCTGCTGAAAATAGTTCTCACGGTCAGAAAATGTCTCTTTAGTTCTAGGTTGGATCTCTCTTTGACAAACTTCCCCCCATTGCTTCTTGTCCTGCCTTCTGGTGCTTTGGAGAATAGATTATCCCTCTCTTCTTTGTGGCAGCCCTTCAAATATTAGAAGATTGCTATCATGTCATATCCTATCAAGCAGGAAGTGTGGTTCAACTTCAGACCAAAGGATGGACTTCCGGGTTCTTGGTCAAAATACATGAGTAGGGATTATTCATCACCCTTGGGTGGTGCGAACAAAACCCTTTCAAGCTATTTATGGATGTTCTATCAAAAGGTCCCCTGATCATAATAATCCTGGTGTCTTTTTTCCCCCCTTCCCTTCGCTCCATGCAAGTGATTTTTCTCCTTTTTCTTCTCAGGTTCCAGAAGATCTCAAGGAATATTTCAGCCAGCCTTAGCAACAAAGAGGCCGTGCTATAAATCAAGAGGCTGCTACAACAAAGCAGCATGAGCGTTACAGAATAGATAGAATTGAAAGGTAGAAAGATCGTAAATACTGTTCACCTAAGACTGGATTCACCAAATTAGATTATCTGAGGGTTAGGGCAAATGCCTTATCTGTCTGGAAACTACCCATAAAATGTGTTGAAAATTTGATGGAGCAACTTTATAGTTTCTTTTTCCTTTTAAGGCTGGGGTAGACAACCTGTTGATGGACAGAGGACCTAACTTTGGGTGGAAAATATCTCATTGGGTGAAGCCACAATGTACAATGGGTGATGCTGGGTTATACACACGGGAAGCAAAAATTAGTGTTTCTTCATTCCTTTTGGAGATCAAGGACTTTTTTCTGGGTTATTAACCAGAGGTGGTATTCAGCAGGTTCTGACCGGTTCTGAAGAACCAGTAGCAGAAATTTTGAGTAGTTCGGAGAACGATCAAATCCCACCTCTGACTGGCCCCACCCCCATCACTTCTCTGCCTCCCATTGAATCCCATCTTATCGGCTGGGTCTTCTTTGGTTGCCCTACACAAGAGAATGGAGCTGGAAAGCAGGTCAGTGGGTTGGGAAGAGAAGGGGGATTTTGCAGTATCCTTTCCCTGCCATGCCCACCAAGCCACGCCACAGCCACAGAACCGGTAGTAAAAAAAATTGAATCCCATCACTCTTATTAACCTATTTTGAAGCACCAATGACCATCTTTGTGACTCAACGCGGATAAGAAACAGACTTCAGACTTTCAATCAAGAATCAGCTTCGCCCATTCTAAAGACACCATTTGCTGTAGCCCTAGTTATGTATGTGGGGGAGGCGGAACCAGACACAATGGCTGAGTTTATATTTCCCAAGAAATCTTAACCCTGCCAATCACACTGTGGCTTTAGTGCAGGGCATAAATGTCCTCATTTAACAGTGGGTTAATTGGGCGAACGCTGTGAGTTGTTGGGCTAAAGCTGCAGGAAACAACAGCAAAAAAAAAAAAAAATCTCATCGGGTTTTTTTTCGTGAATGTAAAGCCTGGTTGGCTCTCCCAGTAATGCACAGTGCCAGCCGACTTCACAACGTGTCCATTCAGACCACCGCAGCTTTGGCTGTGAATGGCACTGTCATCTGTTTTACTTGAGAGGGGGGGGGAAAAACCTGTGGACATCTTTCTCCCCCAGTCAGAATAACAGAGTTAGAAGGGACCTTGAAGGTCTTCTAGTCTAACCCCCCTGCTTAGGCAGGATACCCTACACCACTTCAGACAAATGGCTATCCAATTTCTTCTTAAAAACCTTCAGAGTTGGAGCACCCACAACTTCTGAAGACAATTTGTTCCTCTGATTAATTGTTCTCGCTGTCAGGAAATTTCTCCTTAGTTCTAGGTTGCTTCTCTCCTTGATTAGTTTCCATTCATTGCTTCTTGTCCTGCCTTCAGGCACTTTGGAGAATAGCTTGACTCTCTCTTCTTTGGGGCAGCCCTTGAGATATTGGAATATTGCTGTCATGTCACCCATAGTCCATCCTTTCATTAAGCTAGACCAGGGGTTCCCAACCTTTGGTGGCTCGGGTCCCACGGGCAGCGTGGTAGAGGCCTGTGGATTGGGGACCCCTGAACTAGTCTTGCACAATTCCCCACTTCTTCATACATTCTTCATATATTCTTCAATGACTACTTCAGCTTCAACCACAACAATACAAGAGCACACAATAGATACAAACTCAAGGTAAACCGCACCAAACTCAATTTCAGGAAATACGACTTCAGCAACAGAGTGGTCAATGCCTGGAATGCACTACCTGACTCTGTGGTTTCTTCCCCAAACCCCAAAAACTTTAACCTTAGACAGTTTACTGTTGACCTCACCCCATTCCTAAGAGGTCTGTAAGGGGGCGTGCATAAGCGCACCAACGTGCCTACCATCCCTGTCCTAATGTTCCTTTTTATTCGTATCCATTTCATGTATTCATAATTATGTTTAGTTTACTTTACTTTATTGTCACTGCACCTCATACAACAAAATCGAACACCATCTTCCGGGCACATCATGACCATGAAAATAAACACAAACACACGTCCTTCCCATTCCACACATTGAATTGAAAACCCCCGACACCGCACAAACACTGCACTATGCAGTAGAATTCAACAGAGCTACTGCCCTGGGATAGAAGCTGTTTTTCAGCCTATTTGTCCTTATACTTACACATGTTATCTAATACATGCTTGACAAAATAAATAAGTTAATAAAATAAAATATTTTAGCCTCTTTTCTGAGCGCTTTCCAGAGTCTCAACAGGTCAGAGTGGTGGCAGAGATGAGGGAGGTGAAGAAAAAGAAAGAAATCCCTTCATAATTAAAATGATTTTCAACACCGAAAGAGAAATCCTACATCCTAATCCAAGCCCTTACACGAAAGGCTGGCACTGTGAACAAACAGCGCCACTTTTGCCACTGCCTATTAGGAAAACTGTTCATCTCATCTTGATTCTATGCACAGGGGACATCCCACCGAATCTAATAACTGGCACAGAATTTTAATTGCTGGACTTCCTCGCTTGATGGTCTATTTCTTGAATGTCGCCTTATCGTTCTGAAATTGCATGTGAAGTCGCGGAGGGAAATGCTTTTCAAAAGAATCTGTTTGCACTTAGCAGCTAATTTTTCTCTCCCGGTAGCCCACCCCCAGCCATGTTGCGTGACCTCCAGTACCACAAATTCAGAGGCATCTCCTCCAAAATGTTTCCAACAATCTTCTCTGGAATTACAGGCTAATAGGCAAAAGTTCAGGTGCAAAGATCCCTGCGGAATTTAAACTAAGATGTAATGGGAATTCAAGGACAGCGGTTTGAAGATAAGCTGTGATCTGCTTAACTATGGTATATTGAATAAGCCACAGTTTGGCCATTATTTGTGGTTTAGGAGTTACAATCACTGGCCCATATCTTTGCCTAATTTCAAAATGAATTACAGTAAGATAGGTTAATGGGTTCCCTCTTTCTTTCAATTCTGTTATTGCACTCACAAAAAGTTCTCTTTTTTTAAAGTTTCAAACTAACTACAGTTCCTTGTAACATCTGAATTTGGGAACATGTTCTCTCTCTCTATCTCTCTCTCTCTCTCCCTCTCCCACTCCCTCTCCCTCTCCCTTTCTCTTTCTCTCCCTCTCTCCCTCCCTCTCCACTCCTTCTCCCTCTCTCTCTCATTCTCTCTCTCATTCTCTCTCTCATTCTCTCTCTCTCTTTCTCTCTCTCTCCCTCTCCCTCTCCACTCCTTCTCCCTCTCTCTCTCATTCTATCTCTCTCTCTCACACACACACACCCTCTCACCCTGCCTCCCTCTCTTCTCCTTCATTATCTTTTCCCTCCGTACAAAATATAAAACCAAGAACAAAATATGCATTAATCACATTCAGGGGATTTATGGAACTTAATAAAATGTACATCATCACAGTTTGCGACAAATAAATAACACTTCATAAAACTGCCACTTGAAGAATTAATCAGCATTGCAAGAATCAACTCTCCCCTTTAAGCAGAAATGCTTAGGAAGAAAGTGGAAGAGGGTCTTAAAGACCAATAAAGGAGAGCGTTTGTAGTTTAGGGTTGAAATGAGGGGTCCTTGATGCTCTCGGAGCTCAGTTGGTTTTTTTTGCTGACATTTCCTGACCCAACCAGGACATCATCAGTGCTAGAAGGGAGTGCAGGTATGGAATGAAGGAGGGGACTGTGGGGTCCTTGGTGATGAGCTTGGTTGTTTTCTTGAAGACGCTTCAAGACCCAACTAGGTGCTACATGTGTGCTACATGCTGCACTGGATACCCGCACTTCCTTGTAAGACTAATGATGCTACCTAGTTGGGTCATGAAACATCGGCAAGAAAACCACCAAGCTCAGAGAGAGCCAAGGACCCCATGGTCCTCCTCCTTCTTCACTCCCTACCCCCACTCCTTTCTAGCACTGATGATGTTCCCTAGTTGGATCATGAAACGCCTGCAAGAAAACCACCAAGCTCCGAGAGCACCAAGGGCCCTTCAGGATCTCAAAGGCCCTTGATTGAGTCCACACTGAAGGAAGAAGAGTTGGGTGAGGAACCAAGGGTGCTCGGAGAAACTCACTCTCTCCCAAAACACAACCCCACCCATCGATTCATGTACCAAATCACTTCCGAACGTGTCTCAGATATACAACTTAGACAAGATGCCTCTTCCAAAAACCTGCCAACTTTCCATTCTAAGCAAGGTTGGGGAAAAGGGAAGCTCTAAGGAGTCTTGGAACATACTTTAATGCATCGAGAGTATCGTAACAGAAATCTAAAAGTCTGCCAAAGCTCATCTTTACTTCCACTTATCCTTTGCCCAATCAAGGCAGAGTGTTTGGAGTCTCTTCCTTGCACTTTTGATTTCCCGCAACTAAGGTCCTTTTGCGGTAATGGCTCCATACTTTTTTCAGATGGAGACGTTTGGGGCTAAATGTTCCCTTGGAAATCAGGATTTTCATCTCGGGGGGTCTGTGTTTCCCTGAGAACTAAGGAGCACCGGAAAAGGATGGGTAAAATCCTGTGCTTTCTCTCCATAAAGGTTTTAGCCAGATGGCAGACAAATGTTGGGAACTAAATCTATTTAGTTGCATATGTGTTTATTGCATTTTTATCCATTGCATCTGGTAACTTTCAGCTGCTCACCTATACAGAAAACATGTATAATTCTCTCTCTCTATTTCTATCTTTATCATCTCTATCTCTATCGATCTATCTATCTACCATCTCTCTATCTATCTTCTCTCCTCTCTCTATATCAGGGGTGGGCAAACTTTTTGGCTCGGGGGGCCGCATTCACTTTTAAAATTTGACAGACGGGCCAGGTCAGCACAAGATTTTTTGGGAATCGCCCCCCCCTTCCCCCCTTCTTCTCCTCCTTCCCCTCCCCTCGGAGGCCCCCTGAGTCAGGAGTTGCTACTGCCGGCACGGCTCCACGCGGCTCCAGTCCCACGTTGCCTCGGGAAGGGAAAGGCAAAAAGGAAGAGCCGCGGCGGTGCTTTGCAACGGCAGCAGCGGCACCGGAGGTTCAGGCTCAGCGGCTCCTGGTTTTGCCTTTCCCTTCCCAAGGCAACGTGG